CCTTTTGAGGCCTCCAGGGTGGGAGTAAAATTACTCAGCACATTGAATCTCCCACCTGGTAGCCAGTGGCTCAAAGTGGATTAAATTTTATTTAGAAATTTTTTTAAATAAGTGATTTCACATAGCCAGGGCATATGGGAACCAAAATCCATACCTGCTTCCCCTGCCTTCCATACCTGAGTTTCTTTGTTAAAGCTTTTGCAGGACTCTCTCACTCTTAGAAAGTTCTGCTGCTATTTCCAGGGTGATGTGTGTCAGATGCACCCTTGGGTCCCCGGTTCTGGCTGCTCTCCTCACCCAAATCCCCGGACTTCAGTGAGGTTTCCAGGGTGCGGGCACTGCCTCTCATTCTCCTTGGCCAGCTGGTGCCGACCCTGCCCGCAGACACTGCCTGTAAGACTAAGTCTGGGGGACGGCAGGGGCTGGTGGGGAGGCGTGCAGGGCTTCCCAACAAATGCTGTGGTTGGGTGTGTACCTGATGCAGCCACAGTGCGGAGCAGCTGGGGAGGCCCCATCCCTGGGCGTGACCAGCAGAGCTCAGAGGCTTTGGAGGACGGCCTTGGTATCTTGACCACAGAGGGGAGATGCCCGGTGGGAGCTGGGGAGTGATCCGCCTGCCCCAAGCTGGAAGGGCAGATGTTGTTAAGCTCACTCAGCCTGAATCAGCAGGGCAAGCAGGAACCTTCCTCAGGAGGCTGGCCCAAGGGGTGGGCATCGGGTGTGGGGCCGGTGCAGGTGCCGTGGAAACAGGCTGAGGGACCTCCAGCGCGGAGGGGAGGGGCTGGGCGCACAGGCACTGCTGTGGACCAAGAGAGAGCCTCTCTGGCACCCAGCCCCCCGCCGCCCAGGAAAGCCCCATACTGTTTTCTTGGAATACGGCTTCCAAGGAACAACCCTCTTCTGGCTCAGGCACGAAGGCGTCTGCTTCTCCCCTTCTGTTCCTCCTGCTGTGGTCTCGCTCATCCCCACCCTCTAGCCCTTCCAGGGCCAGAGCACCTCCTCCCCGAACCAAGAGCACTGTGCCTCCCCAGGAGCCTCCCTTGAGCATCTGCTGAGGCCTGTGGCCTCAGTGGGATGAGCTCCCGTTCTAGGCTTCAGCTTTCTGACCTGGGAACTGGGGACTTTTGACTCTACCTCATAGGTAGACAGTCTGGAATTTGGTGACCTTGTCTCAGCCTTCCCCTTCCCTCCTGGGGGCACCTAGAAAGGAGAGAGGTGGGGCTGGAATCAGGACAGCACCTCTGAGGCACACATGGGTGCAGGGTGCAGCAGAACGGTGACCTCTGGATGACAGGCTTCTGCCCCCACCCCTTCTCAGTCCTGCCACCCGGCCCCAGATGGAGAGGGGCAGAGCCGCAACACTCACCCCGTGCCAGGACAGACTCAGTGAGGGAAGGCTAGAGGGGCTGCAGCCACATTCTGCTCCATCCCCTGCCTGGGCTGGTGAGTGGCCCAGGGGCTCCAGCAGGCTGGGGCCAGGTCATTCTGGAGGCACAGCATGGCTCCAAGAAGCCCTCCCTCTCCACCCTGGCAGAGTACCTACTTGCTGCCAGGGACCCCGAGGCATGAATCGTGTGAGAGCCAAAAGGGGGGACCCCCCTTCTCCTTGGAGGACTCTGAGTGCTGAGTGCAATAGGCTGGGGAGACCACAGTGATGTGGAGGGGTGGGTCCAACACCCTGCAGCTCACCCAGTACCTGCCTCTGCAGGAGTAGCTTACCGGCTTTCCAGGTCAGCATGTGGGCCAGGCGGGAGAGCATTCCTGTCTTACTGATGGGGAAACTGGGGCCCGGAGATGTAGTATGCCTTGCCCAAAGTCACACAGCTCACACAGTGAGCAGGAGAACTGGCCCTGGAACCCAGAGCCCTGGTTCTTGGACCAAGTTTCTCTCCCTTTCTCACTAGTGTTACTCCCCTGGGAAGGAAGGGAGCTGGCAGGAGGCAGGTGGGTGCAGAGGTGTCCTGAGGGCTTCTGGGAGGGGAAGGAACAGGGGAGGTGCCTTCCTCTTTCTTCTCCCTGCCCAGATCCAGTGTCCAGGAGCTCGGGGTACCACCGCCAGGACAGGGGCTAGAGGGCCACCGCCCCCATCAGCCTCTCCCAAGTAAACCTCTCCCTTCCTTTCCTGGGAGACGCTGCCTCCCAGATGAAGGCTCCAAGGTTGCCCCCAGGGGCTGTCTCACTAGGTATGGGGTTCACACTGGTGGGTGCACCCGCCCCGCTGTGAGCAGGAAATGCGTCTGACTCTCCTGTGTGTGCTCGGTCCCGCCACAGGCCTGGCATTCAGTAGGTGCTCAATAGGAGAGTAAGGGAGCAAGTGGCAGGTGGAGCTGGTGACTGCAAGTGAGCCAGGGGGGTGGGAGTGGGAGGCTGCAGGGTGGGTGGTGGTGGAGGGTAAGATACCCAGGGCCCCTCCCCCAGCAGGATGTGGGCTTCTTCCCACGCAGCAGGCTGGGCCCTGACATAAACCCTGTGGGGTTTCCACAGTGGGTTTGATGCCCTCTTGGTCAAGCTGTGGTCCTCAGACGGTGGTGGCTGCCCTTTCCACATTCTGCTAGGGAAGGACGAAGCCCAAGGATATCTTCTGAGCCCAACCTAGCTTTGGTCAACCCGGCCGGCAGGCTACGTGCAGAACCACAGAGTAGAAAAACCTCGTTTTATTCGGCCCAGGCCTGGGCAATCTTGCTCTGCGGTATGGCCAAAATATAAAAAATAAAAACCAACAACCAACAAAATCACGTTGTAGGGGAAAGTTAAGTACACAATTGGGCCTGGCATCCGGAATCCCTGTGGTTTTGGTCCACGTTCGCTCCCTGAGGCGGGCAGGGAAGGATGCTCCCAGCGTCCAGCTGCCCCTGCCTGTGGGTGGTGGCTGGGCCCCTTGGGCTGGGCTTGTCCTGGCAGGAGGCTGCCTGGGGAGCAGGGCCTGCTTTGGGAGGTGGGGAGGTTGGCCATCTGCACACCCTCTCCTAGATCAGGATCTAAGGAAAGAAAGAGAGGAGGTCAAAGGCAGGCTGAGGCGTGGGCCCCTCGTTCAACCGTCAGCAAGGCGCCCACTGCCTCCCCAGCTGAGCACTTCCCTTCCACAGCTTGGATCCCAAGTGGGAGGACAGGCACGGGCCTCCATTTCCGTCAGTAATCTGGGCTCAGGAAAGGGGGCTCCATAAAGAGGGGTTTCATGGACTCCCATGCAGGGCACGGTCTCGGCACCACCCCTCCCCCATGCCCTGAGTTCCAGATTCTTTTCTAGGCCATTAGCAGAGCTGCTACTGTCTGGAAATACTTTCTTGTTTTCTCTAACTCAGTACTTTTGGAAAAAAAAAAAAAAGGCCTCCTTTCTCCTCTTCAGAAACATGACTGAAACCCACAGGCGTCAGTCCCATGGCCTTCCTGGAAACGCTCCGTCCAGCTTCCTGCGCGCTGGCCCAGCTGCCCGCCTGTGGTCAGGGTCGAGGAGACGCACTAATGAGACCTGAGCCTCTCCAAGCACTTATGTAAAGGGCTCGGGGGGAAGGGCCTCAGCATGCCCTGCGCTCACAGGCCCCAGGGTAGCTGGAGGGGGACGCAGGGCAACTTCTCTGTCCGCCCTGCTGAGGGGCCCAGCTCATGGTGCCACCTGGGGAAGTGGGAGGCTATGTGGATGTACCTTCCCAGCAGCAGGGGGGACAAGAGCGCATGTAGGCTCCCCACCTCCCTTGCAGCCCTCAGCCCTTGAATGCCCCTGCCTCCCTTCCTCCTGCCCTCCCTCCTTCTTCCCTAGAATTTCTTCCCAGAAAACCTCTACCGTTTAGGTGACTCCTGGATTTTTAATGGCTGAAAAAGACAAGCCCTGAGGAGCGAGAAGGTGCTGCAAACCCAGGCCTGCAGAAGGGCTAAGTTGCCAGGGATGGGGCGGGAGTCAGTCGTTTCAAACACACTCTGTGACCTGGATGATTCTGATCTAATTCTGCAAATGAGGAATCTCATCTCTGAATTGAACCAGAGGCTACTGTTCTCATGGTGCGGTGGAGGGCTGTGAACATTAGCTTAGTGGTAGCAGCCAGGGGTGCAAGGGCTATCTCTAAACACACACTGAGCCCTCACACACCAAGCTCTGAGCCTGGTCACATGCTGAGCCCTGACCCTGGTCACATGCTGAGCCTTAATCCTGGTCACACACTGAGCCCTGACCCTGGTGATAGCCTAAACCTCTCATACCTATCAACCATTAATAAGCAGACATGTTTGGGGAAAGATGGTTCTCTGGGCCTTGGAATCCCTGCCATTTGTTCCTCAGCTGATGGACTAAAGCTCTAGGAGACTACTCTTTTTTTTCTTTGTTTTTTAAATGGAAAAGAGTTGCTTTGAACTGATCAAGCGTTTAAAATTCACATGGAGTGGGATGGGGTTTTTAATGAATCAGGAGAGAGGCTGAGGACAGCCAGTCCAGGGCAGCAACAGCTGAGTCGCCACGTGCCAAAAGCCCGGGAGTTTATCAACTCCCTCCACATCTGGGCCCAGGGACTGATGACTGTTAGAAGTGATTCCAACCAGAATCAGTTCTAATCGGAGACTGCTTAATTCGATCCACCTGATACGGACACTAATGATCACACAGCTGCCACGCGTTGAGCACCAGTGTGAAGGGTCCTGGAACACACAGATGTCAGGCCTTTAAATCCTCTTTACAAGTCTGCGTGGGAAGTGTTGAAGAGAAAAGTAGTTCAGAGAGGTGAGGTGAACTGCCCGATGTCACAGAGTGAGGGAGTCACAGAAGTAGGAATGCAGAGCCCATGCACCTCCACCCAACGACACTGCCTGCTGCTGGTCTCCACCTGAGGAGAGCTCACGCCCCGGACTAATGCCCGCAGCCTGAGCACTCCGCTTGGGGTGGCTGGTCCAGCCGCAGCTGTGTGCGGCCATCAAGGTGACCCACAGGGCAGGTATCCTACGTGTTTCACGTGGCCCTGCCTGCTCCTCAGGTAGGAGAGGGGCTGGGGTACGGAGAGTTGGAGGAAGGGCACTTACTGGACAATTTTGCAGTTTGTTGTAGAAACATAGCGACCTGTATAGTGGATGTTGCATCTCACCACATTGTTGGTGAAGTCAGACTCCAAAACAATGTACTTTGGGTTCACGTGCACCTGAAGAAGGAGAGGAACAGAAGGAAAAGGGATCTGGTCATGAGGCTGTGCTTCACTTGGTCACCAGGGAAGGTGGAGAGGCAGATAGGCAGACACAGAGGAGCCAGAGAGAGGGAGACAGGGAGATGGAGAAAGACCATGAGAGACCAAGAGACACGGAGACAGAGACACACGGATGGAGAGACGGGGGGAGATGCAGAGAGACAGAGAGAGGAATGAAGAGCGAGACAGCTCATAGTCACAGGAAGCATCACTGGATCATCCTTCTTGGGAGATAGGTTTCCCCAGAGTCAGAGCCCAGGCCAGGGGGCCCCGCATGGGGCATTCAGAGCCACTGCCCCAGGGAACCCAGCAGTGAGTGAGGGGCCGAGCAGGGATCCCATGCCTGGTCTCCCTGACTCCGAGGCTCGCACCCTTTCACCTCGCATGCCTGTCTAGGTGACCCGTGGAAGGCCTGTCTGATGCCAGGTAGCATCTCCTGCCCTGGAGCCCGAGGCACCTGACACTCACTGAGATGATGACCCAAGCAATGCTGGATTGACAGGGGAGGGCTTCGCTGGGGTGGGCCACACCCAGCCTGATTTGCAGAACATTTAAGAAGAGAGGAAATGATGTTATATTTAAGTTACATTCCTTAGGGGCAGGAACTGTGCCTCACTTACGTGTCTTGAATCCTCGGAACCTAGAACTCAGAAAGGCCTTTGTACGAGTTTGTTGAGAGTGGATGAATAAGGGAAGGAAAAGAATACACTTGACAATCTTGGCCCTTGGGTGAGGCTGAGCAGAGGCCTCACTGAGCCCACTGAGAGGTGCTCAGGATGGGGCGCAACCAACTGCTTCCAGGTTGCCCAGTTCTGAATGCAGCCACCCAGCAGCCCGTCCTCATGCAGGTTAAAGCCGCCTCCCAGGCCCACCTTCTCTGCTCTTCCTTTACTCCAGCATAGAGCAATGGGCCCAGGGGGCCTCGTAGAGTGAGCCCTACCCTCGCTTTGCACCTGCAAAGAGGAGGCTAAGATTTGTCTTCCCCAGGTGAGGTCATGATGACCCGGCCCCCGCTCAGCCTGCATGGATGTTCCATGTTGGGCTGCGTGTCCTTAACGTGTTCTACTTGTCTCCGCAAGGGACGGAGCACTGGAGTGAGTGTACGTGGAGGAGGGGTTCGGGCCACATGGAACTATTGGTCACAAGTGCCCTTGGCTTTGCAGGGGTCCTATGAGGAGCTGAGGGTCTCTCTCAGGGAGGGCAGTGTCCTCTCCCAGATGGCACAGAGCCTGCCCTGCTCACACACAGGGGAATGGACCCCATGGCTCTCCAAGTCCTCTGCCACTTAGGGAAGACAGAGTCACCACCTCCTCTAGGATCACCACACTTGGGCCGAAGGTTCCTCGGCGTTTTTTATGGGAAGAGGCTGTGTCTGCCTGAGGCTAAAACCTTCAGGCGGGAAGTGCAGACCTCAGGGACATCATCAGCTGATACGCCCAGAGGGTGAAGCTTATGTCAGAGGCGGGGACACCGAGGGTGAGCATCAGATTGGAGGAGTGCCTCCAACCAGGGGCCCCACCTTGAGGATGTAGTTGCCGGGCTGCACATCGGTTATGTCAATCCACTGGCAGTCGATGTCCGCATTGTACGTGTCATAGCAGCCTGGGCTCAGGCCCTAGGAAAAGGGACAGGAAGAGAGGTTGGGGTGCTGTGTACTCCTCAGAGCCACCCCATGCCCACTTCAGCAGCCTGGGGCCCTCCTTCCTCTGTGATTCGTCCTGACCCTGGCCTGGGGTAGCTGCTCAGAGTGGGTCTGCCCCGTCCTAAGCCCACTGGGGTGGACGGACCAGAGAGATGATAGATATAATAGTCCGATGGAGGGGGCTTCCCTGGTGGCGCAGTGGTTGAGAATCTGCCTGCCGATGCAGGGGACACGGGTTCGAGCCCTGGTCTGGGAAGATCCCACATGACATGGAGCAACTAGGCCCGTGAGCCACAACTACTGAGCCTGCGCGTCTGGAGCCTGTGCTCCGCAATGGGAGAGGCCGCGACAGTGAGAGGCCCGCGCACCGCGATGAAGAGTGGCCCCCACTCCCCGCAACTGGAGAAAGCCCTCGCACAGAAACGAAGACCCAACACAGCCATAAATAAATAAATAAATAAATAAATTTATAAAAAAAAGTTGGTCCGATGGAGGGATGAAATGAAGGTGGGGGGATGCCTGGGAGAGATGGATGGAGGAACGGATAGAGAGACAGGCAGGCAGGATAGATGGACACTCTCTGGATGTTTGGACAGAAAGATGGTTTCGGGTGGATAGCTAGGCAAATGGAATATCACGCCATCCAGAATTCGCTGGAATGTTCCTCTCCTTCCATGAGCAGACACCCCTGGGAATGGAGGTGGAGGGTAGCCCCGAGGGGCTCTCTGGCGGCTTCAGGACTGGCAAGAAGACCTGCACTCTCTGAGCTGAGCGCGCCAGGAGCCTTGGCACTAGCCCGTCTTTAGCCTGGCTTGGGCGGGCTTCCCCGCGTCCTTCGGAGCCCCTGCCCTGCCCCTCCGGCCCAACCTGCGTGTGCCCTTCGGAGCCCCTGCCCTGCCCCCCGCCGCGCCCTTCGGGGCCCTTGCCCTGCCCCCCCGCGCCCTTCGGGGCCCTTGCCCTGCCCCTCCGGCCCAACCTGCGTGTGAGAGGTGCACGCGTAGCGCTTGAGGTTGCCGAAGTCGCAGGTGCTGTCCTCCAGGCAGAAGCTGGCCTTGTGGCCCTCGGCTACCTTCTTGCCTGTGACTGCGTCCAGCAGGTCGTAGTGGCTGAACTCGTCCATGCTGTGGTAGTGCCTGTGGGCAGGAGAAGAAGAGGGAGATGAGGGCCTAGTCACCCCTGGCTTCCCAGCCTGGTCCCCCCTCCTGAGACGGGCCCAGGTGACCCTGCTGTGACACCGCCTCCTGAGGGCTCCCGGGGCTCCTTGGTCCCTGTGTCCCACAGGCAGCATCTCTGGTGTCCTCCTCACCGAGCCAGTCACCCTAGGAGGGCACCTCCTCAGGACCCCTCACTTCCTCTTGGGCTCCCACCTGTACCGGCCTCCCTTGGGTGATGCCCTGTATTCTAGATACTTCCGTCCCCTATCAAGACCGATCCTTCTGTGTCCCATCTTCCATTGCGGCTTTCGCTAAGGCTCCTCTGAGAAATCCTTGCCCCAGTGATGGATCCTTGGCAGAAAACAACTCACGGGGCCCTCCCACCAGCACTGCCCCTCCGGAGTGCTCCTGGGGAGGGGCAGTCAGGCCCAGGGCCCTGGCCCAGAAGGGGGGGCGGGCCAGGCAGCCCACTCACTGGTGGCAGCTGTGCCACTCCCAGGTGTGCCGCGGCCGGTTCGGAAGGAAGTCTGCGGTGCCCTGGTTCTTCACACGCTGGGGGAAACGCAGCAGCACCCGCACGTCATAGTCGGTGGCCTCAGGGGCGTAGGCTGTGCTGTGGGGACAGGCGGGGAGACCAGAGTGGGCTTGGGTACCAGACGCAAACACCCAGCATAGGTCGGCTTGGTCCTGAAGATTCTCACATCTGACCCCTGCCCTGCAGCCAAGGCTCAGGCCTCTGTTCCTGTCTGTGGGCCATCCCCTCCTTTCTGGCCTCTGCCATGTGGCTGGCAGCTGCCAAAGGAGTCTTTCTAAAGTGGCATTTGGCCTGATAATGACCCTCTGAGGGTCCCTGATGCCTGCAGGTGACTCTCAGCTGGGGACAGCCCCTGAGGGTGGGGGCAAATCAAAATCTTCGGAGGGCTTTTATAAAATAGCCCTATCCAGGAGATTCTGACCTTCTCCCTCCCCCTACACCTGGGTTCCAGCTTCAAACAGTCTCCCAAACAGACTTAACTCTTTCACTGATCTGTACTTTTGCCTGTGCCGTTCACTTGACCCAGAACTCGCCCAGCCTCCTAGACCCAACTCAGGTCCTCTCCTCCAGGAAGTCTGCCTTGATTGCCCCACTTAGAGGAATCGTGACTGCCTGTGAGGTCTAACAGTGCTGCCTACAACACACCCTGGTACCATACACAACCTGAGCTGGGTCAGTGTGAGCAGACCACCTCTCCCTGATTGTGTGGCTTCAGGGCCAGCGACCTGCCCTTTTTTGCTCAGGAAGCACTGGACTGGTGTCGATTGCCTGTTCACAGTTCACTTGCTGACCCCCAATTGCCAGCTGAGATGGGCCTTGTGAGGTGAGAAGGGAAAAGAGAGAAAACTGAGGGGCAGCAGTGAGGGGACACACATCACACATCCCATAGGTAGGAACGAGGGCTAGCTGAAGGCTCCTTCCTCTTCAGCTGACTGTGGACAGCTGTCTTGGCCAGACTCAGGGGCACTTCCCTGGCAATCATTAAGGTCTGGGCCCTAAGGCTTGAGGCAGGAGGTGGCCAGTCATGGGGATTAGCTCTCTCTGAGAGGATGTCTGGACAACAGGCAGTGTCGGCTCCTGTCTGCCAGGACGTAAGGCCCTTGGCCTTGTCTGAGGGAGGCTTGGAATCTGTCTTTGTCTGTGTTAGAACTAAACATCCTCCTTCCCTCTGTTCAGTTAAGTCCCACCCCTCTGCTGGGCTCAGCACACCGTGGGAAACCATTAGGGTCTGGGTTCTAGGCCCAGCTTGGCCACAAACTCGTGGTGAGACTTGGAGCAAGTCTCTTTCCTCATCTGAGTTCTGCCTGCTGTCTGTGAACTGGCACCGGTCCGTAGCCCACACTTTCGATAATCTCCGAGGGCCCTGCTGCTCCAGGGCTTCAGTTCTGCTGCATTTTCCAGGTCTGTATCCCACACCCAACCTCCGCTGTTGCCTCAGCCCTTGCCAACCTCTCCCTCCTCTGGCCGCCCACAGTTCCAGCCTGCCAACCGCTCCATCTAGCTCTCCTTCCACTCCCTGTCACTTAGTTCTGGGTAAGAGGCCACTTTCTCCAGTTAGACCAGGATAGCCCTGGGATGGAGCCCCACTGCCTCCACCCCAGCCCATCTGGGAGCTCAGGTGTGGGCACACGGGGTATTCCATGAAGACGGAATAACACTTTGGTTTTGACTTAAACTCCTCAAAACTCAGTCTCAACGGACGGCCGTGGAGGCTGAGTTCCTCCCCACTGGAGGAACTGTAGCAGGAGCAGTAAGTACATTATGCTCTCTTCCCAGAGACGAGAACTGAGTGGGCAGGCCGACTCAGTGGAACTCACGTGTGGTCCCTGGACTGGTGCCAGTTCGCACACTGCCTGTTGCCAGTCTGTTGTGAGAGAAGGAATTTGCACCAGCATGTAAACCAACTACATCACGAATCACACTGTCTAGTTCAGCTGATACTTTTTTTTTGAAGCAAGACTTTCTCGATGAAGGAAGCAGTGAGTTGAGTTACATTCCAGCGCAACCTCCTTATCTTGTTACAGATGGGTAACAATTTGTGGTCAGCTATTCTGAGTGGCAGTGAACGAGGTTTCATTAGTGAGAAAATGTTGAGCTTCTAAAGGGCTTCCCAGATACTCAAAAGTGAAAGTAAACAGAGTTCAAATGTTTAAAGAAAGCAAATAATTAAGAAAAATAGGAGCTTTCAACATAGACAGCTGTCAATAAAAGAAGTAGGTCAATATAATCTTTAAGTAGTTCTTTTAGCACAGGGAGATGTCCCCAAAGCATACATATTTCAACAGAACATTCACTGTCAATAAATTCAGAAGCAAGCTCTGCAAGAGGCAGAATAACCCAGGAATAATGGAGAGTTGGCTGTGTTTACCTCCCGGGTTCAAGGAAACTGGTGTCCTTCCCCTCTCTTAGTGCAACACCTAACTGAGGCCACCTAACAGAGGCCCACAGCCCCTGCTGGACAACCCACACCTGTCCTCTGTGGAGATGGCTCCATAATCCTGCCCTCTATCCTGAAGGCGCCTATAAGACTTCCCTGGGCTCCCCACGAGGAACCTTCTCATGAGACACCTCAGATCTGAAGGTTTTAGTTCCTCTCACTGCTCCTCGGTTACTGACAGGGCAACACAGACCTTTGGGGCTGGTGTGAAGATTAAATACCATTAAGTTCCTCATATAGTGATATATACAGAAATGCTGGATCACTCTCACTCCTCTCCCCACCCGACTGCCTTGGGGCAGGCAAGGCCCACCGACGAAGAGGCCACGGTCGTGCAGCCTGCAGGCAGCCTGGCCGCCACGAACACAGGTTCTGGGTGACTGTCCACGCTTCATCCTCATCTCCTTACCTGGCCAGACACTTCTCCTCTGCAGCACAGCGCAGGGAGTACAGATGGGCTCTCTGGACATAAGTGGATGCTTGCACATAGTTGGGGTCCGGGACCAAGTCAGGGAGACCTGGAGTGGGGAGAGGGAGAGAGGGAGGAGGGGGGAATAGTTGGCATTGAGGAGGGTCAGGCTGGTCAGGTTTAAAGCCCAGAGATCTCTCCAACCCCAAATGCCCTGTGCTCTTCCCCTTCCTCTACACAGGCTGTCACTTCCTCCTGGAAGCCTCCCAGTGTGAGCAAGGTGTGTGATTTGAACCATTCTCCCTAGGCTCAGGTGTGGGGTCAGGGAGGTCAGGGAGCAGGGGCTCACCTCTGGAATTCCATGCTGTTGGGACCGCTGAGTCTCCTGGGACATGAGCCAGATCTGGGAGACTGGGTGGAATTTGGAGAGCAGGAGAAGACAAAAGGGTATTCTCCGCAGGGGAGCGGCATGAACAAGGGCCTGGAGGGAGGACTGAGGGAACCAAGTAATTTCCTGACAGAGACACTCCCCTTGGTGTCCTTATTTCCCAGGCCTCTGGTCACCAGACCCCAGACACCCTCTGCTCCTCTCACCCCTGCAGCTGGCATTCTTTGTGAGCCGCCAAGAGAGAACCCTGGGCTTCTGACCCCAAGTGGGCCCCAGAAGGCTCCTGGGCAGAGCCAGGTGAACGGTGGTTGGCAGAAGTGGGGGTGATGAGGAAGGGAGGGGCTCACAGGAAAACATGTCCCCAGAGCAGGCTGCTGACCAGGCAGGATTCTCAGCCTGGGCACCCAGCCCGCTCTTCTCAGGATTCCTTTCATCCTGTCATTGGCCCCCAGACCTGACCACACCTCCCCCTGTCTGCAGCCTCAGGCCTCCAGTCTGAGGAGGGCCTGGCTCCCTGCCCTGCAGGGCCTTAGGGCCCAGTGCCCAGGGGAAGTCTGGAGTCTGCTCCAGCCCCTGGATCACTTGTGCCCCAGGTTATGCTAGAGCCAGGGGCCTGTCCATTCTCCCTCCCACCCCGACCCCGTCCCCGTACATAACTTAGTCCCAGTGAGAATGATTAGGAATAAGCAGAAACCGAACTCAGGTGTCCTGACCCTATCCACATGGAATAAAGAAGGAAAGACCTTGATGTTGGGTGTGTGGAAGGGGTGGGGCACGTGGTGGGGTGGGAGGTGGGCAGGGGGACTCCGGAGCCCTGGGCTCCATCTCAGCTCAGCCACCAGCTTAAACGGGAATGGGCCTGGACCTCCATGTACCCTCCCCTCTCAGGCTGCAGGGATTCTGGCAGGTAAATGATAAAATGAAGCTATAAGTTCCTCTTAGCTTCTTTCAAGCCCTCTGCTCTTGGGGGGCAGGCACAGTGAAGGGCCTTGAGTCATGCAGACAGGCTTCTAGCCCCTTCTTGCTGCCAAAACCCTCTTGTCAGCTTATAGGTCCAGAAGATGAGGCAGAGGAGGGGAACTCTGGCTTCTAAGCCTTTCCCAGAGGTGTCTGCTACACGCCACCCTTCACAAACACATGCCTGGGGCTCCCAGACCCTACCCCTGCTCGCCCTGGGGCTCCGGCCTCATGCAGGAGCAGCCGGTGTGATCTCACCTACTCGGAATGAAGAGGAAGCTTGGAACACAAGGGTGGGTGAGGATGAGGTGGCTCCTGGCTGATGGGGGCTGTCCTGGCCAGCCTAGGCCCCATTACTCAAGCCCCCAGGAAT